TTGTATTGCCAAGCATTCACTTCAATCATTTATTACAATTGCTTCACTGAGACTCAAGAGCTTGGGTTTCTTTAATATTCATTACCATTAGCATGACTACTTCAGCCCAAACAAATTTCTTCGGTACATTCCAATTTCATCGATTTCCTACATCCTTTCCTCACTGCCCTTTCTTCCTTTACTGAGTACTGTTGCAGAACTTTTCAGCAAACTAAATTCGATTCAATAACTATCTTGTTAGGCCTACAGTCTACTTACTGATCTCCAAAGACGGGGTTGTATTTAAAAAGACTGCCCAACATGAAGTTTCAAAATTTACACATTTTACTAAACAAGTTAACCTGATCTTCAAAGATTCCCCTGGAATCACAGAAAAATTACACTCCCTTGTGAGTTGATGCCCCAGTAATATGACTGCAATACAATTAAGTTCATCTTCTGATAAACAATTTGTAAAACATAAGATCATTTAATTGCAGATAAGAGACTTTAGCAGGCTAGCTTTTGTTTTAAGGATTGATTTTGAAGAAGGGTAGTGGGAGTGGGTTTTATGCTGTCTTTATAAAAGTAAAAAAAGTAAACATGGCTGATTCACATGATGAAGTCCTGACATCCATGGAAAGATCAGTACATTATCACATACACGCTGTAATTCTGAGAACAAGAACTTCATATGGCTAGAAAGATTCAGCCAATTAAGTAGCAGTTCAACTGACTGAATATCGGTACATTAATTATGAAGTGGCGGATCACACCAGCACAGATGCTTTCATGATGTAGCTTACTGTGACAGGAGCTAAAGAGCCTCAGAACTGAAGTATGGTTACAGAATATTACTAAAAACATTTGGCATTTGTTATAAGACAGCATTGTGAATCCTGAATCCTAATTAGCTAGTACACATAATATTAATTTTGCATAGTAACAGTGCATTTTACAGTTTAAGCAGTCCAGTATTGGCTGTGCAATAACAATAAAAAAAGATTAGGGTATATCAAGTTAACCCTTCAAGACAAACTTTCCTGACCTTCTGAAAGAGAAGAGTTGAAGCCGTATCTCCATAGTCCCTATTTTTTTATTCTAGTCGTCTGTGACCTTCTCTCATTACCTACATTTTTTCCTCAAAAAAAACCCCCAACCCCCCCCCCAAAAAAAACCCAACCACACACACACACAAAAAAAGCAACCAAACAAAGCTAAAACAAACAGGGGAGGGAGCTGCAAAGTTTCACTAGCAGAGTACTCAGCAAAAGTTAAAGGGAGCAGGCCATAAAGTTTAGGAGCAAGATTTGTAAGGATTTCTGTGAAACAGAAATAAGGCAGGCCAGCAAGAAGAAATGGATGGCAGAAATTAGTCATAAGGAGAGAGATATCCCAAAATAGTAAAAGAAAAAAAAAAACCCAACAAAAAACTTTTAAGATTAAACTGTATTTCTTGGCATAAGAAATGTCTTCTTTTAAGGAGAACTATTTTGAAATAGTCTTAATTTTGTTCCTTATTACTAACAAAATGTTATTTCCTAATTAGAGCTTTTAAGAGTTGAGCTGCTTTCTGATAACACAGGGTTGCACAGCTCTTTTAAAGGAAGAGCTGAAATGCAACATTATCATTGTACATATTACCACATCAGAATGCCTTCCTGTACACAACCAAGCAGTGCAGCTGAGCTGTCAAGTCTAGCCTTTCACAGCAGCTTATCTTTCTTATTAATAAATAAAAAAAGGCAAGTATATTATATTTAGAAGGTTGAGATTAAAATAAGGATCCATTATATTTCCTTTCAAACACTTGGAACTACACTTACTTAACAGAAAATTCCGCAGATTTACTTGATAGCCCCCACTTGCTAAAAGAGATGTAGAAGGCAACAACTTGTATGTGAGAATGACTGCCTTGCATTTCAGCTGAAAATGCTATAGGCTTAAACATTACCAGGCATATTTTAAGGACATTCATAAATACATAGGAGGGCAGTGTGCTTAGTGCACAGAAGCAATAGCACATAACATTGCATGGGGTATAAAGACCAAACTCTCAAAGTCTCGTTCAGTTACTCTATTGTCTTTCAAGTTCACACAATGCATACATCTATAATGGCATAGAGGGGAAAAAAAAAAAAAAAAAGGAATATTCTGCAATTCTCATTTAAACATACAGAAGAACTTGTCTGCTTTGTTCCTAGGGCATGATGAACTTATACTCGCAAACTGTCTGGGTGCATTCAGGTAAAACTCATTAACTATTTTAGGCCCTCAGAAAACAACTCAAAAAAAGCCTTTTTACACAGATACACAAGGCTTTTGTGCAATATATAATAATCCTTGTACCAAATTTAACCTTACTAGTGCATGTTAGGTACCTATGCCTGTACACCATGGGAGGAAGAGCAGTGAACCATGCAAACACTCCCTGGGACATTTTATGTTCACAGAATGATCACAAATGTTCTAGAAGCAAGACACAAGTAATGGCTGAAGCAGTAATGGAAAGAAAAAAGAAAAAAAGAAAATCTAGTGTTTCACTAACAGAACCATCCCCATTCCCATTCCTTCCAACAGACCTCCATCCAGCCCAGTGTCCTGTTAGAGGAACAGAATAAGCTGCTGAACTAAAACTAAATCAAACAAAAAAAAAAACCCTAAAGGGAACAATAATCAACATAACTAACTACTGTTTCCAAAAAAAGGGCTTACTAACAACATCAGAAAGTAAAATGTAAAAGACAGTCGGTTATTTTCCTCAGAGTTGTGGGTCAAAGAACAAAGCAGCAGGTTGAAACACCTTCCCATGATAGTAAAGGCAATCTGTAAGATAAACATAGCAGTCCAACATAGACAAAAATAATCAGAAAGCCATTAAGGTCCAGATTATTCAAGGAAGTCAGATATGCATAGATTTTGTGTAAGAACTTAAATTTTCTTTGGTAGAAAAAAAAATTAATGCCAACTTTAAATCAAATGTTTCATTTAAATAAGTCATATAAATTAAGCAAAATAATTACAAAATACTTATGTGCAGTAAAAGATGTTTCCAAAAAGTCAGAAAAACATCTCAGAATTATATATGGTTTTTCCTTCTCTGTATTTGATTTTGTATAGATATTTAGATTCCAAGTTGGCAGAAGGCAAAAGCTGTCACAGAAGGACACATGACAGATAAATACTTTCATGACAAACTGCACTGTCAGAATTATAGCATCCCGTAAGAAAGATTTTTTACAGCAAGATTTATTTACCTCTGGCAAAGCAGAGTTAACTTTAACTATTCAATAATACCTGAAAGTATGTGAAACTGTTCCACCATTTCAGGTGGGCCCCTTTGTTCCAAATATTCCTCTACTAAGTGACCCCTAGAATGCATGCTTCTAGGAACATTTGTGGGTTTTATATGCTAATAAGAGGGGGGGAAAAAAAGGATCTAGTAAAACAGTGAACTGTCCTTTAACTGTATTTCAAAATATAACTTTCAAACGTATGAGCCTTAAATATCTGAAAGACCAGTCTAGTTTATTAGAAAGTGTAAGAAATATATGCAATTAAAAAAGAAGCCTGGCAAAAGAGATACCATTTTATTACCGTATACAGTGCTATTTCCATTGGAAAACTGACAAAAACAAAACAAAACAAATAAAACTAACAGAAAACCCAAAATCTCTAAGATGTAAAGACCATCAATGAACATATTTAAAAAAACCAAACCACGGCACTTTGTATATTTGAAGTTTTATTAATAGGCATACAAATATAACCGTAGTGTATCACAAAATTCATAACATTTCATTAAAAGCAGTTCCTTAAAAACATCTGCAATCATCTATAACAAATACACTAAATATTTGAATCCTTGTACCTTAAATAAAAATATTCCCCATGAAGCCTATTGTAGGTGGTTACTAAAAACTCAACATCATACTTTATAATTAAAAAAAAAAAATGCAGAAATGCCTACCGATTTTAGGTGCCCATTTTTAGCTATATCATGCAGTTGCATTTCAGGAAGTGCTGATTTCTTTATTCTTTCTCAGGAAAATAAATATTCCTATTTGGTCAAAAGGTGTCCCCCAAAAAACAGAGGGGCATTTCTTGATGGCTAATTATCATCTAAAACTTAAACAAATGAAGATGTTTATTGTTTATCTTTTTTTTTTTAAATATGCTCCCCAGTCACAAGATTCCATTTAATTCATCAGTGTGTGTACCTGAGGTGCTATATTGTCAACATTTAGTTTTCCTGGAAGATACTAGAAGGAAACAAGTCACCACAGTATATTTCAGTTGAACTGTTCATTTTCCTTAGATCATTCTTCCTTTCCAAGGAACATGTACATCTACTGACAAAGTTTGTAAAGGAAGGCTATACATCTTCTATTTATCTCTCATGTCTTCGTTGCTTGAATCTGATCTGGTAATAAAAAGAAACAGCTAGTCTTAACATAAGATGAATTCTTGCTGTATTTTGCTTTTTGAAAACATAACCCAGTATTGTCCAAGTCACCGTACTACGCAAATAAATACTTTGGTGTAGTTACAAGAATGGGGGACAACACAGTCAAGAGTTGTTTTCAACTTGCTCTCTCATCTACTTCTGAAATTTCTCCACAGCCAAGTTGTTTCCCCCAAATGTTGCTCATGAAACAGGATGACTCTTTCACATAATTCAATTTTTATCTCTTTCAGGCTTATTAGGTAACTTTGATCAGAATAAGGCCTGGAAGTTTACTTTATGACGTATGCATTTCAGTTCCCTGTACGCATTTCAGCTTCTATGTAACAGAAAATTAACTAACTTCACAACAGTTTGCTTTTTAATAACTCACATGAAAATGTCTTTGCTCTCAGCAGCCACACTTGTTCATACTGCTGCCCAACTTCCACTCCCCAATCCACTTAAAAAATTCCTTAGAATAAATGTACTGCATCCCCATTACAAAATGTGGAAATCTGCACAATTTCCCCCACTAACAGGGAATGTGATCTGGGCTTAGACTTTGTAGAGAGCCTAGTTTCACCCTACTGTTGCAATAGTAACATGGTAGGGTTTACCCTAACTAGTTGTTGCAATGGTAACCAAATTACAAAATTGGGAGATACACAAACGCAGCCTTTGCTAGGGAAAAAAAGGCAAAACCTTCTGCACCTGGCATCCCCAATCCGCGAACTCCCTGTAATGAGTCTGCAAAAGGTAACTAATGAAAGCACGGCTGTTGACAAGGAAAACCGTGTATTCATTTAACAGGGGTCATTTCCTCCATTTAATTTTATGATATCCACAGGCTGCGATTTAGGGACTACTATAACTTCGGAGTTGTTCCAAATATTTCTATTTAGTACTCTAGGAATGAGGAGGAGAGTCTGAGTAAAAATTTGTTCTTAAAATATCAAAGTCTTCATCTTCTAAAAGCATAACTGCCAAACTACACATACTTAGGAAACAATACAGTTTAAACACAACCCCTTTTAAGGGGATTGTGTGGGTATTGAACCAGGAAGTTGTTAAAGGAAATTTCTAGAGCCTAACCATGAAGAATTTCAGCTCTGAAAATTAAGAAGTTTAACAGTCCATGAGAAGGAAATAGCTATGGAGAGTTAGGTGAATGACACCAGAAGCACCTGATTACTGTGCTTAAAAATCTATGTATGTAACTCAAATAATTTATCAGAAAATATTTAGACAAGCATTTGAGATCCTTTAAAGTAGCTTGAAGCTACATACAACACCATCAACTCAAAATTCGGACTGAAATTTAGAAGGTTGCTAAAAGATAAGCAGAGACTGAAAAATCACAGGAAAATATTACAAAATCAGAGCTATGCCTGAAATTAGAAAAAAGTACATGATTTGGAATCTGCCTCTATGACAACAGGATACAGCAGTGAAGAAAACTCTGTAGTAGTATGCTGGTTCCTCACCACTGAACTGTTTTAGATGGAGAAGGGCAGTCAATCTCTTCGTAGAGCATTTTTGACTAGTATCCCTTCCTCGGAAAATAAGACCAAGTGTTTTTGTAGTCTGTAATAACATGGTAAAAAAACCCATCCTTCTAATTAGCAGTAAGGATTCCAAGTAGAAAGGACAGTCTGGTATCCATGGATAGATGGAGATGTTAAATCGGGCACAACGTTGGACAGTATTTAGCTGCATTTTGAAGGAAACGAGCTTAGTGGCACCGATTTTTGGAACATTGCTGACATCTAGTGGTTGCTACAGCACAGAACATGCCAGTACAGCGAAAACGTCTTCAGGTACAGACTATACTACACTACCTAATACACTCACAATGTGATCAACTTCAATTAGGGAGCTAAAATTAGAATGAGTCTACCAAAACAATACCACACTTCACTATTCTACACATTTAGCACTGAACGAGAGGACATGAGAGACCAGATCTTTGCCAATGTACAATAGAAAGATATACAGCATCAATATCAAGTTTGTAAATAGAAATGTGTATGTAATACACTGTCTAAGCTGATCTGGTATTTTCTATGTAGTTATGATTGTCTTCATAAAATCGTTATAATGTAAGCTATCCTTTTTTTCGCTCCAGATTAAAGAGCTGAAGTATCAAAACTACTCTATTTGTCTGTGTATTTTGCTTAATCTTACAGCCTGCTTATGCACCGTCTCCTGATACATAATGTTACGTAAAACTGGGACAGGACAGTAAGAGTAACTTAAAGAATAAACTGATTTTTTTATTGTGATAATTCATAGCACAGGAGCTGTTATTATTTACATGAAAGTGTTACAGTCTTTGCAAGAGTATGATTAATATTTTACAGTACTGCACTTCAGTTGCAGCAACTGTCATGATCCTTTGGATGTTAAGGAGGTAAATGAAAGACAAATAGGATATAGAGCATCAATACTCACTGTGTAATTTGATCTGACAGCAGAAGTGGACAGAAAGAAAACAAAGGAAATAATAAAGAAAAAAACTTACAAAATGAAAAAGTTTAACAGAATTAAAAAAGAGCAAAAGTATTACATATGATATACCTTGGAGCCAATCCACACCTTCTTGCAATCCTTCTCCTTTAAGAGCATCACTGGCACTGAAGGAAACAAAATCAAATTACCAAAATATTGTAAAAATACCAGTTTCAATAAAGTCATCACTGTACCTGCGTTTCACAGAATTACAAAGTAGTATCAAGTACAATTCACTTAAATTTTCTTCACATGGATAAGGCTGCTTCTCAAGTGATGTATTCTAGATTACCTCCCCAATATGGAAACACCAGTTCAAGATGTGATCATTTTAATGCAAGTTTCAAGGCAAATGAATTGTTCCTTAAACATGAAGGGTTCTGGAAGTGCTCCCACTCAAGGCAGCCACGTAACTCCCTCCTCACATTATGCTACAAAAGACTACCTAGAACAAGAGCAATGAAGACTAGGATGACTTAGGTTGGAAAAGACCTTTAGAGATCATTGAGTCCAGCTCCCATAGTGTTCCTAGACACAGCAAGAATTTCGGAGTATTGCTGGAAGAAGGTATAGTGTGTACGCACATCATCATAACAGCAACTCTAGGAGTGTCTCTTAATATATATTAGTATTAAGCTACCTTGAAAACAGTGTAAATCTACCTTTTGAATCACAGGGGTATTACTGTTTAAAACCCCCTCATTCTTCAGCTTCTAAAAACCAGCACATCAGTGAACCTGGACTGTTACTGTGGTTAGCTATAAACTTATCTTCCAAGGAGCCTGGAATTCATCAGTGTAATTTCTGAGACAAAAAGCAGTGACCCCAAAACAATGCCCAGGTAGTCAAGTTAATATTAAGGGCCTAAAATAAAAACTGTTGTTTTCAGAAGTGTTAACTGGTGATTTTGCTTTAGTTTTATTTACTTTATTTATTCACTTTTTATTTATCTGAGGACTTTAGTAATAAAAAAATCTAATTTCTATTAAACACTTCACATAAAGGGAGAGTTTTTTCCCTTGTGAACACTGGCACAAAAATCCTTCTGTTTATATGAAAGCTTACATCCTTCAGAAAGAAAAGACACTAGCTCTTAGAACTAAAAATCCCCTCAAATGTTACGTGGTACAGAGAGCACAGTGTCCCTCTGAGTTCACTTGAGAACAGTTCACTAAACGGCCTTTCAAGAGTTGTTTACTAAAGCATCTGCAGAGCCAAAAAAACAACTCTAAGGGTGTTATTTTTTTAAATTCTGAAACCTGCAAGACAAAGTAGCAGCAGCACTCTAATAACACTCTGATATAAATTCTACTCAATTTCCCAGCAAAAAAATAATAAAAGCTATTTTTCTGATAAGAAGTCCTCCTTTTCATTATTTGGGTAACGGTCCAATTGTGAAAATTTTCAAGACAGTCTATATGAATTGATTGTGTGTTTAAAACAAGTTTCATAGCAAGTATTGTAACATTACTACTGTTCCCATATGTGGCAGCACCGCATTTTATGTGCTTAGTTTACTTTATGTTACATAACACTGAACAGTATGACAGAGATAAAATATGAACTTACAAAGTACACCCAAAAAAAGGGCAGAAAAAGGGAAATTTACCAGATATGCCAAGGCTTGTCTTTGATGTTTTCTAATGACAATAACTGAGATACTTTCACAGATGATATTGCATCCCTGAGGTCCATCTTGTTAGCAAAGAAGAGAATAGGCAGTCGACGGTGCTTAATATCTAGGCATGAGCAGAGACAGAACTATTATGACGTTTATGGAACACATTCATCTCTACAAGTAATAAGCTACAAACAATACATGAAGATATTTTGCTTACATGTAACTGAAATTCTCTGAAGGTTGTATCCTACCAAGATGCACTATTGGGTCACATGGCCTCTGATTCATCCTTCAAGAATGCTCACAAACTTTCTGGCAGGCTTTGGGATCTTCCACCCCTCTCCCCCTACCTTAAACATACATTTAAAGCTGTAGGTATCAATTTCTGGTGAAGCTGAGGAACAGATCAAACAACCACCTACAAATACTACACATCTCTGCTTAGTGAGGACTGGATGTGTAAAATGGACAGAAAAATTATTTGTGTTCGTTCATAACCTTGTAACAGCAGCTGCATAAAAGTAGTCTGAATTATCCTTTAGCATCCTGGAAAACATCCATGACTTCATAAAATAGGAAAAAGATGCACATGTCTGGACATTACTTATCCTACCTTCACTTGGAAGACTCTTTTTCCAGAAGCTTGTGTCAGCAAGAAGTGAGAACTACAGACCAAACCAAGTATACTGCCAATTTCTGGCATGCTTACACATTCAAAAGCATAAGTCTTGCTGATTACCACAAAAGACTACAGTCATTGGAAAGAAACAGAGTACACTTTCTTAAACATGACAGATGCAAAACTGCCAAAAAATTACTAGCACCAATTACAAACTGTAAGAATTTTTCACATTATTTAAACAAAGGATGAATTACAGGATTAGGGGAAAAAAAACCAAAATCTAGATTTGAGTCATCAATTTTTGATGGGAAAAGAAATTAACCTCCCCCATGATGAAAACTGCTACACAGGCTCTTTTTAAAGTAGCAAAAAGAAAAGGTTATTTCACATAGGAAGCAAGCTAAAGATTTATTTTAAAACTTTAAACATAAGCCAGATGCCTCTATAGAGTGGGCAGGGGGACAAAAAGAGTGGGGACAGGGACAACCACCCCCATACCTAAAGAAGCTGCCAATGCTGAAGTGGTCTGAATCTTCTTAATCTTTCTTTTCAAACCCCCTACTGAACCTTTCCACAAAACCAGTGGAGATAACACTATTTACCCATACTCTGAGATCATGAGTGCTGACAAAAGCTCTGACAATTTCCACAACTATTTGCACTCTCTGGAGCTATTTTTCCCTCCGATATCCTCTAACATAAATCAAAGTCCTCACAATACAAATACAGGGTATCAATAAATCTCTGGTTTGATTCCATAACTGAAAGGCTTTTGTGTTTCCCAAATGAAACTTTTACATTAACCTACAGCATAATTAAATGAAGTCTAGTACCCACAGGTTGCAGGTTACGGATAAATTAAAACCACAGAAATGAGCTGACATATTTTCAAATAGTCAAGTTAATCAAGGAATTGTCATTGGTTTTTTAGAGGAGTTAAAAAGGGCACAACCTACTCACACAGACTCATAAATATACACTTAAAGATGCCTGTCTAAGCAAAGTGGTGATTGCAGAAAGTTATGTTGTTCTCTATCTTATGACATTGATTCCTACTATGTATATTCCCTCCTTCCCCCCGTTATTAATCGAAAGCTAACATTTTCTAGTTGCAAGTAGTTATGAGTTAATACATTAAAAAACCAAAACAAAAACAGCAAAAACACAAACCAAACAAACAAAAAACACAAAACAAAACCCAAAAAAACATTCCAGACACTAGATATGTGTGATGTGTAATTTTATACAAAGAATTTCAAATTTATAGGAATTTCAGTTTATTTTAGAAGCATGTGCTGAAGGTCAATTGAGCCAAGAGTCAATATCTAAAATAAGTAGTCTATAGCCTACCATCTTGCAGACCACTGAAGAATGAAGTTTGATTAAAAATATAATATGATAACAGTGATCATTAAACAAGTTATTTGTAGAATGTGTTGTCCATTTATGTAAGTAAAAGTAATTTACAGTTCTGATTCACAGAACAGTCCCAGCTAGTACAACTTCTAACCCTGTTAGTGCTTCACAGTACACATTCCCCTTCCACCTGAAAACTTCAGGCAAAGTCTGGCAAAAAGAGGAGGAACTGTTTTACTTTTTGCTAAGATTTTCAGAGACAGGAATTGATTCAAGGTTGTTATCCTGCATCCATTTAAACTGTAAGTAAACATGTAAATCTAAACTATTCCAAGAGGTTCACAGAGGCAGAAGCATAGGTGGTGTGAAAGTAGAGTATGCAGGAAGAAAGGCAGGACAGTTATACAAATAAAAATACTCCTGTAGTAAAACAGTTACAGATTGGTTCAGTTAACAGCTACTTTTATCAAACATTATCACTAAGAGAACTTTTTATTCTCTCTTTGGTTCTCTTAGATGTGAACTGTCAAAATCCAAAACGATAAACCAGCAACACTGTTGCTGCATTTGAGCTAAGTTGCTCCAAGGCAGAAATAGGCAACTTTGGCCCTTTCCTCATTTTAGGGAATGTACAACGTGGCCATAGCTATGGTCTTCAGAACTAGAAGAACACATCAACAATTGAACAGCACTGCCCTGCTAGATCCGCATTAATAACCTGTTAATGCTTAAATGAAAAGCCCTGCCTCAGCCTGCATCTCGCGAGTCTTAACGTTTTCACTCTTTTTCCTTCTAATAAACGGGTAACTTATTACAGCAATCTTTACCTGTCATCCTTGGTCCTACGTGGTTTCCATTTTACCAACAGAATCACCTTTTACCACCGTGGTTAATACCTGCTTTGGTACAAAGTTCCCTGGTGCCTCTGCAATCCAACTGCAGCCTTTGGTTCACCTCATCCTCCCCTTTGACCTTTGCAAGACTGTCTTTTCAGTCTCTGCATTTTAAGTGGCCCATACCCTTGAACACGAAATTTAGAGGGCCCAGTGAGCTAACACACACAGTCAGCTACAGCATCTTTCTTTATGAACCCACATATTACATGCAGTCTGCATGGAAAATAAAATCACAGTACCAAAACTGATCCTATCACATTAACACTTCATTAGAAATGCAAGTCAGCTTCTCCCTTCTTTCAGCATGGTAAACCCACAAGTTAAGGCTACAGCAGCTTAAAAAATAAACAAGAAATTACATGATTATTTAACCTTTAAATTTCTTGTATGTATTTTTATAATCTGGTTAGTCAGACCAACCACCTAAAGTGCTGAAAGTCAAAATTGCACGCTGCTTACAAAAACATTCCAGCAATGTTGGCTATACAGAAGGGAGAAGAAGGGAAGAACTGACTGATCTCAAAACGTAATTAAAAAGGTGTGGCCTCTGTAAAACAATAAAAATAAACCCCCCTAAAACCAAGCCCTCAATCGTGAATCCTCTCATATTTCTCTTTGATCCTGTGTGTATTTTTAATAGGCAATTAGAACTAACTGGCGTTATTAGTCCTCCTTATTTCTGGCTAAAGCATAATAATTAAAAAAAAAAAAATTATGAAGATGAAAAAAAGAAATTAAAAGTTACATTAAAGGAATTAGCTGTCTTCATGGAAAAATCCAGACAGGGAGATACTTCTTTGTATGTGTTCCTCATCACATACAGGCTCTCCAGCTTCCAAAGGGTCACAGTCTATTCTTCCTCAAAACAATGCAAATTTTGATCTATATTGATTAATAAGAGACCATCAGTGTAGCCAATTGAAGTATGATCAGTTTGTAGGTGTGAATAAGTATTAAAAAAAAATAAAATATCAAAGTCTATTATTGTCCTCGTATTCATGAATGGCTAAAATATTTGCAAAATACTCAGAATGCGTCAGATAAGGGCTTTTCTTAAGGCAACATAATAAATATGGAGACAGAAGGGGAAAAAAGCCTCCTCACCTGGATGATTCAGAAGGGTGTCAAGTTCTTCTTTGGCCACAACCATTCTTAATTTGTCACTGCTATCAATGACAAAAATAATGGCTTGGCCTTCTCTGCGTAACATAAAAAGAGCAAAGAGGCAAATTATAGGTTCTCTTAAACTATGATAAAGAAAAGGCTTCAGAAGAAACACCAAAAAAAGCAAACAAATATGTGTTTTTTTCCCCCTTTAATTTTTGTTATTTACCATTAATGTTTGAATCCAGTCTTATTTCTGAAATTCAGTCTTCTGGTAACATGTACAATTTTTTGAGACATGAGGTTATTAGCTGCGTGACTCATACAAAGTTTAGTCTACGCAGACCCTTCAGAAAAGACTGATTTCACTACTGAGGCTGAAAAATGAACTCTGAAAATGTAACCAAATGTAACAACCAATGTATTCTGACAGTGCAATCAGACAAAGAAAATGTCAAGGCAAGTTTCTGTAGAAATCATTTCTTTCCTGCACTAAACCAAGTAAATTTAGAGAAAGGTCAGTTACCTTCTTAGAAAAAAATATGTCCACAGCTGTAGTACAACTAGGCATATGCAGATTAATTTAACTTTTACGGAAGTCTGCATACACAGGGTCTTCCTTTTGTTTGAATAACAGGTAAAATCTTTCAACTATTTCAAATTATTGGGACATTTCGCTGACAGCATGATCAGTCACAACATATACCAAATTATTCAAATTATCAATTCAGGATATTTTATGATTTGATGTTCCATTTATTGAAACTTATTTGAAAGCAAAATTAAATCTGACCAATTCAGACGAACAGTTATAAACATCCACAAAAAGTATTTTTAATTTACATTTTAATGTAACAGTCACTTCTCCTTCATTTTGCATTTCTCTGAGACACTATTACAGATACATTCTTCACCCCCGATCATCACCTACCTTTGTATTTTAATACGAAACAGTCCTAGACAACTGAAAAGCAGAAATAACTTGACTAGCCTACGACTGTATAAGAAGGTCCATTATTTCCTGGAGTACAGAACAACTTTAATAGCCAATAAGGCTTTTGCTTATTACCTAAAAATGCCTGTAGTAAAAATACGCACATACAGTATTTTTCTAGAGTAATCAGAGTCCTAGCATGTACCTACTACCAAAAAAATAACTTCACAAACAAGTAACAGTAAAAGGAATACAAAATGAGTTTACATATACTTAAGACAAATGTACTTTGAGGACATCCAAGAAGATATTTTCAAGCCAAATAGAAGAAAAGGGCAACCTTCAAGTATTCCAAAGCAGCTACTCAGACAGTTGCTCAGATTTGATTGCCATTTTGCAATTCTAGCAAAATTAAACCTGGGTTAACTTTGTAAACCAAACAGCACATAATTATTTTTATACTATTCTTAGAAGTTAAGCTTAAATACGTGACTACGGCACTGTCTGTGGAGCAAAGATGAGTACAAGTGCACACTCCACTGTCAACATTACCTCAGAAACTCCCCTACTGTAAAGATGAAAAAGTAATTTATGCCACACAAGGGATAATTTACTGCATTAAATTACAGCTGTCAAAAAAATTATTTGCTTATGAAGCACTCTGCTAGCATTCTGAGAGCAGCCTAAGGGCATCAGTCATTGAAATCCAAAAGATCTGAGACGTAAATCTAGTATTCTTGAACAATGAAGACCTCCTACCCTCACAACATGTTTTCAAATTGCTAATTTATACTTTGCACAGAAAATATATTGTTAAACCTTATACTTTAAGCTTCATAAAATTAAATAGTAATATTTAATCTATATTATAATCTTAATAATTTCTCCATTCTATTTCTCCAAGATATTTTTGTGTGGTTTACTACTCCTCACTTTAGATCATCATCATGCATGACAGAATGAAACTATAAATCAACATTCAAGTTTCACTAGAAGCTAGAAAAACAGAAAATGGTGTCTATTACCAATAAGGCAATACCACAGTGTTACGAAGTACAGCAAACTGGGCTGTATCAAAAGAAGTGTGGCCAGCAGGATGAGGGAGCTCATTCTTCCCCTCTACTCTGCCCTCATTAGAACCCAATCGGAGTACTATGTCTAGCTCTGGAGCCCCCAGCAAAAGAAGGACATTATCAGAGGGCTGAAGCAACTCTCCTACAAGGACAGACAGAGTTGGGGTTGTTCAGCCTGAAGAAGAGAAGGCTCTCAGATGACCTTGTTGTGGCCTTCCAGTATCTGAAGGAGGCCTATAAGAAAGCTGGGGAGGGACTCTTTAACAAGTATTTGTAGTGATAGGACAATGTGTAATGGCTTCAAACTGGAAGAGGGCAGATTTAGATTAGATGTAAGGAAGTTCTTCACTATGAAGGTGGTGAGACACTGGATCACTTTGCCCAGGGAAGTTGTGGATGGTCCATTGCGGGGGGCGTTTCCAAGACCAGCTTGGATGGGGCTTTGCACAGCCTGGTTGGTCTGGTGGGAGGTGTCCCTGCCCATGGCAGGGTGGTTGGAAATAGATGATCTTTAATGTTGCTTCCAACCCAAACCATTCTATGACTCTGTGAATATCCTAACGAATAACATTTAAGACCACTTGGTCACATTCTTAGTAATATGTGTCTCATTCTCTGAGGCTAATTTCCCCTCAATTCTAAAGATCTCTGCCATCAGCCAATATCTTTTGGGTCTTAAGTCATTTAGCTATGAGAAGAGGAAAAATAGGAAACCTAACTCATCGTGATACTTTCTTACAGGATTAGTTTTCAAGTTTCAACATTTAAATCTCATCTCTAACATGCTCCCTCAATCTTTGCATCAACAAGATGCCTCCAAAAGCATGCTGATTAACTGCATATAATTTTTTTTTCATTTTTTAGAACAGAAAGAAAAGTTCCATTTATACAGAATGACCTTTGTCAAACACCAACTGTAAGTCTTCTGAGTTATTTCTAACCACTAGATATTATCATATTTCTGTTTAAATAAACTACACAACAGCTAATATGAACAGCAGTGCTTTAAAATAAGTGATAGGCTTACTTGTAGTAATGTTCCCAGAGGTTTCTGTATCTCCCTTGACCTGACATATCAAACACTGTGAAAGACAAACTGCAAAGAAAAGATATGCAATGAGGCACAAGAACAATGAAAAAAAAAAAAAACAAACAGACTATTTTCTTTGTTGCACTGACAGAAAAAAGCCAGATCAAATTGAACCCTAATCAACTGAGAAAGATGTCAAAGCTCTGGTTATTCTATCTGCCTTCAAACTGTTCTACCCAATTTTGTGGTCATGTTATAGATATATTTCACAATGGAAAATTTGAATGGAAAAAATGGAAAATGGAAAAATGGAAACTTGTTTGTTCTCTGAATAAAAGAGCTAAGCCAATTATAAAAAATTACATCAAATACAAAGTAAACTCCCATTCAGCCTCACTTGTTATCATTTTGATATCAAATATTGCTTATAAAATTCATATGAACTGTGACTTAAAATCCACAGCCTGTCTTAAGTTCTGTCCCTAGGGAAGCATCAATAACATTCAAAGGCTACTGTATGCAAAATAAAAGACTTTTTTTTAAAAAAAAAATCCACCTTAAGAAAAAAAAAAACCCTTCTGGTAATAACAGATTACCTTAGGTAGAGTCTTAAATAGCTCCCCAAGTGGAGGCCACAGGAAAATGAAGAGGTTTAGGGAAGGAAGCTCTCCAGACATCCTTTCCACTCTCAACATAATCCATTTCTAGACTAGCTGCTCTGCCATATATAACGTTACTAGCAACCTCCAAACAATCTTTTGATTACAATAGTAGATTAATGAGATTTTGGGGTGGAGGTGGGTTGATCTGTTTGTTTGGGTTTGTGTGTGTGTGGTTTTCAGTTTGTTTGTTTTAAATCGATCTACCTGGTGTATTTGCAGGCCCTGTCTCCTGCTCTAGGATCAGAGTACAGGAAAGCAATAGAAGTTGATTTACATTCTCACACAGCCAAACCCCAGATGTGTCTTCCGTGCTTTACTGAGACAGAATACACTTGTGTGGGACTGATAGGTTTCACATTTTTATAGGAGGCTCATCAGCTCAAGGAATGAACAACTTTCTTGTAGATCTCTCATCCAGTGGGGCATACTGCCTCGACTGAAGACTAACTACAACCATTAAAAAAACAGGCTACAGAAGAATAAAGTAATATGTAATGTTACATCCTTGAAGTGTTTTTGTCTCATAGCATTCCTTTTCTAAATCTTCACCTTCATTCTACTAATTATTTTTTCCTCTTTTCCCTGACCTTTGCCCTTACCATATTTACATTGCTAACACTGTAGCCATCATTTTTCATTTAATGAGATTAGACTGCCATCTATTGAGAGTCCTTCCAGTGAGAGTACTTAATGGAATATGTTACCATTTTAGCAACCACCTCTCCTCAAGTCTGTAACAGTGCTCTATTCTTAAATTCTTAGCAGAGAGAAGTCAGATGCTTACACACCTCATTGCAAAATATATATATGTATATATTTTATACACACAGTTTTATAGCAGCACAAGACATACAATATATAACACTGTGAGTCCTGGATCATAATGAGGACTCTTGGTACTACTAGATTTTAGCAAACTGCATGTCACATCATTATACTACCACATGTTATACTCAGCTACATCCCACTGAAAGAGGTAATGAAGTCCAAATGTTGTACATTAATTACTACCACTAAATGGAGAAAATTAAAGAAACTACTACCTTGATGTCTTGAATTTCTCTATACTGAATCCTATTGTTGGAACGATGTCCTGAGTTTGAGCCTTTAAAGGAAAGAAAGTATAAATTTTACAATCAAGTTAGACAACGTAAATATTGAAATATATTTGAAACACAGTAGATTACAGATCTATATTTCCCCAAATTGTGCAAAACAAAAACTTTCCACAAATCCAGATAATTTACATTGAAAAAGTTACAGTATTTAAAAATCAAGGCTTTGTATTTTCTAGGAAATTAACACTATTGGACTACAGCATTGCAGACATTTTAGCTTCCAGAGATTCCATCCTTTACATGAGACTGTATGTACATGCATGTGTGGATATTACCACTGAAATAAATAGGAGCTAGGTTAACATGGGAGATAACACCTTGAAGATTATGACTGACGTCAAAGTTCACAATATTTGTGCACTTTGGAAATCACAATGTCAACCTAAACAAGGCTGCACAATACCCCAAGCCTCTTAGATAAAAGAGAATCATAGAATAATAAAATGGCTTGGGTTGAAAGGGTCCTTAAATACCCTCTAGTTCTAACCGCCCTGCTATAAGTAGGGACACCTCCCACTAAACCAGGTTGCTCAAAGACACATCCAACTGGGCCTTGAACACTTCCAGGGATGGGGCATCAACAACTTCTCTGAGCAGCCTGTTCCAGTGCTTCACTGCCCTGACAGTAAAGAATTTCTTCCTCACATCTCACCTAAATCTCCCCTCTTTGAGTTTAAAGTTATTACCTCTTGTTCTATCACTACAAGCCCTAGTAAAATGTCCCTCTCCATCTTTCCTGTAGGCTCCTTTTAGGTCCTGGAAGGCCACTATAAGGTCTCCCCAGAGCCTTCTCTTCTCACGGCTTCTATCAAGATGTTAGACTGGCTATACTCCCATCTTTTATCCACAGACTAGATACTCTATTCTGACATTGGGAATTATACAGCAGATGTTACACAATGGCCTAACCATAGTTCTATTCAAACTACTAAACCACTGGATGAAATCAGCATTTGCCACAGAGGAATGACCAAAACATAAAGCATTATAACCAGATTTACTGCTGAGCTAGCCAAGGAACCTACCAGCTATGTTGGTACAATAGAATAGCTCCTTTAAGAAGCATCAATACTGAGCAGGGGGAAAGGTCACATTCCTTAGATTACAGAGCTGTCTGAGACACGCAATCCTTTTACAGACTTTCTAGAGCCCCTTATTATAAACAGTATCTATAATCAGTTGACTTCTGGCATACAACTGAAGCAAGGTTAGCTTGTCCCTTGCAGATTTATTATGAAGATGGCATTCTACCATTGTAAAAAGTTTAGTCAGCAGTTACTGTCAAGAAGGGAAAATTTGTGCTGCAGAGAAGGTGTTACTTATTTATTTCAAGTGTTATTTTTCAGGCCCAGAAGAAACAGTTGCAAACAGATGGAGAAACACTTGCATTTGCTAGACACCCAGTATATTGTTCCTAGGGTAAAGCAGCAGCTCTTCTTAAGCAGACAAAGTTGATCCAGAGTTCAAAATCATCTGTCCATTTAACTTACTAACAGTAAACAATTACATCAAGTCTGATCAAGTGACATTTGTCGCATATCAGAGAATTTATCATGTCTTGCAAGGATAGGACTTACACAAGTTGTATGCCAAGCCACTCTCACAAAGCATCACATTAAAGGAAAAAAATCAGAATTAAGTTGTCATTACACAATTTACAGTGAAGCAAACAAATTATATTTATTCTACTTGTGTGATTCCCTTGAGATGTTCCCTAATACCTATTGTTATGATAAATCTTGAAGTCTGAGTTTAGCTCTAGTTATACATCCTTTACAGCTTAAGGCATGACATAAAACCCCTGTTACAATAAAGATCTCAAAAATTACATATATGTATAATTTGCCTGGTATAAACTGTACCATTTCCCTCAAACAACTGGCATGAGATAGTAATCAGTTTATAGTCTTTGTTTATAAACCTATTTCATTTTCAGTGGAAGAATAATTGCCAGGAATGGAAGAGTAGCCGACATTTTACCATGTTACTTTTTAAAACAATTTCCAGTGGTACTTTTCAGGAAAAGTTTGATGGAAATTAAAAAGCAAAAGCCATGTGCTGATGTAAACAACAGAAATCACGGTTTCCCAGATGCATATAACAAAGCAAGATGCAGAAGCCTCTGGCTTTGCATTTGCCTACCAACATTCACCTGTTTTCACTCCACAAACATACCTAGAAACAAGATAATCCTACTTTAAATTTTGCTTAGAATACTATGCACTCTTAGTGACCTGAAACACTTTTCACTAGATGAATGAACTGGAAGTATAACTGCTACTTATTTTGAAAGCCATTCTGCTTTGAAAATGAAGTCACCATTAAGTGTGCAAACTCTAATTGTAACAGGCCCCATTATTTATTACATATTTATTATTTCTAAGGAAGAGAATTAAATTAACATGATAAATGTAGGCAATAATACAAGTTGTTATACGAGTGTGTTAATCCCAAACATTTAACACCACTTGTAACTGCAATCCTGTAGCAATGATTTAAGTAACTTAAGAAAACTGTTGTAGATGATTGTTTCAGTCATCGTAAACCCTTCCTCATTGGGTGATTTTAGAAAAAATGTGCCAAACAGCAGTGGTGGGTTTCTTTGGTAATTTTTCATAATATCCACATGGATGCTTCTATTTAGTTTTAGTTAGAAATTCTTGAAATATATTTGTTCTACTGTACTAAATAAAAAAAAAAATAGTATAACGGCACGCAAAACCATTTTAAACAAACATCAACTCTGCAGTAAAAACATCAACAGTGAACTAAGCAGGCTACTTACATTTGAAGGTTTAAGTTTATTTATGATCGTGGTTTTGCCGCTATTGTCCAAGCCAAGGCACACGACATGAACCTCCTTTTTCTTCAGCCCAAGCCATCCCGCCAGCTTGTCAAACAGTCCCATAATTGTGGCTCAACTACACAGGGACCACCTGTTGTTCAGAAAATCAGAAAAGGAAATAGCTGTTGGGAAACAGTACAGCAGTGCTAGCACAGTAGGTGGGCATGTGGCTAAACAGTCCTTAAATTTTTAAAAGGACAGTGTGAATAATACGCTATGCAAACACTGTGACAGCAGGTTTGCTTGGTATACTAAGCAAATGGAGTGTAAGCTGATTATAGCCAAGAGGCCTTGATACAAAAGCAGATTGGCCGTTTATAGCCCTGTCTATATAATGCAATGTCCTTGATTCACTGGTAGCAATATTGCCATCATTCTGAGCAGTCCAAATAGGAGCACACTTGCAATGCCTCCTTAACTTCCACCAAAGAGAAAAAAAGGAAGACTTCCATTTTACTACACTGTCCATAGTCTAATCTGTCATCATAATTTAGACAACAAAGCAAAACAATATTTCCTTCCTTCTGCACTTGCTACATAATCTAGTGAACCCTGAGGTAAATAAAGTACCCTCTGTCAATTCAATTCAAACTCTAATTGTAACAGGCTTTGCCAATATTAACATGTATAAATTAGGAACCTGTTCACTACAAATAGAAACTGATTATAATATATCCAATGAACATGAAGCCAGACACCATAATATTCACACACATGTCAGGTAGCTGCCAAATTCCTAGTCCTACCCAGACACCAGCTGAAGTTACCTGGAGTAGCGTATTTGAAGGAGCTTATACCACATGTTCCCTTGAGGTGCCTGGCTGAATATACTTTGCAAAGAGGATAACTCGTCTGTCCTGAACAAATCTCACCAAGAACAATTTCAGCAATCAGACAGGTGAAATATTAATGATGCATTCATTAATAAAGCATTTAATAAATGCCAGAGAAATTTTGTGGAGTGCTAAAGGCTGTTTTTTCTTTTAATAAAGCAAAAATTCGCAGCATTGGACAACTCAGACTGTGGTTTTAAATACCCAGAATATCATGGCATGAGGAAGAGCAAAAAACATCAATGACAAGTATTTGGTCTCATTTTTCACCAAGTGATTATAAAATGATGATGAACTTCATTTTAACAGAAAAAAAAATTTACTAATTTTGAGCTTGTCACATAAGTCATCACATTTGTTTACAGTATCATTTTTTTTTTTTTTTGAGATTCTTTTTAAAGCTTTATCTAGTGCATTTTGACTCAAGGCTGGTAGTGATCTACTGAGTAGCAACGTGTGTAACATCTACACACAGTTGTCACCAGATGAAACAAGCCAAACATTAGTTACAGCTATTCCTTCAAACAAAAATAAAAATGATTTTTCTTTCAACTGTCTTTATTTTATGCCCCACTCCTTTTTAAATATACATACAACTCTTAAAGCAGCTTAAGGATTGCTGTTTATTATCAAATTAACCTGACAAAATGCTGCCCTAAAATGTTACTTTCTAGTCCAATCAAAAGCCTTATCTACATGTTCTAGACAATACGGTAAAAAAACCAAACCAAGACAAGACCAAACCAAACCTTGAAGGTACTCTTAAAATGGAAGAGGAGAAAATGCAAGAACTTAAAAGATACTTCTATGGCTTCACTTTTAAATCCAAAAGCATAAATACACATTCTTTGACAACAGCTCCTAGCAACATTTTAATTAGAGACTTTTTTTTTTTTTCCTAGAATTTTTCATAGCAGCTGGCAAAGTCATTATTTAAGCATACAACAGGGAAATGTACCCCTGACTTCTTCCCCCAACCCTTTTCTCCCATTCCTTTTCTCAGCTGTGAAGAGTTAAGAGCCCACACAGGTTCCTTTTTCTGGCAGCTGACACACAATGCTGTATAGCTACCTATGTTAGACTTATCCTAAAATTATTTAAGGTAGAGTCTGGTCCAGGGACTTGTTATCGAACTCCATAAAACTTTATCATAAACTGTAACCCTGTCTGAAGCATCAGATATTAACACTTATTACTACCCAGGCTGTGCAACTCATGAAGACAAACCAGTCGTGAATAATTTAGAGAAGTAGTGACCCGCTGCTAGGAAGCAGAGCCAGGTGAGCCACATATCTCTCCAGATACTCCCCTGAGAGACAACTGAGAAGGCACAGCCAGCTCCCTCCAGTGGCTGCCGAACAAGACATCTCTCCAATTACTAGCACACCAAGCCAAAAGCAACAATCCATTGAGTGCTTTACACACTGCAGTTTTGAGCTTTGAAGAAGGCAGAGATCTGCAGAAGAGCAGATGACCTGCAGAAGTCCCTCCCAAACTAAAATCATAGAATTGTTTCGGTTGGAAAAGATGTTTAAGATCACCAAGACCATCATTAACCTCACTCTACCAAGTCCACTGCTAAACCATGTCCCTGAGCACCATATCTACACGACTTTTAAACATGACTGGGGTGGTGATTCAGCCACTTCCCTGGCCAGCCTGTTCCAAAAGAGGAAGTTTTTCCGAATACCCAGCCTACCCCCCGCCTGTCACAACTTGAAGCCATTTCCTCTTGTCCTATTACTTGTTGCGGCTGACCGGCACCCACCTCTCTACAAACGACACTAAAAGTACATTTAATTCACACGGATTTCTCAAACATAATCGCTAAGATACCAAGGCTGCCAAAGCCGCCCACAGGAGGCTCTTTCACACAGGTATAATTTAAAACACTAGCTGTAGTTTATGCGGTATTGTTTTGCAGGCCCCCGACTCCCACCGCACCCGGGGTGAGCAGGCGGGGAGCCAA